AAACTGCTAGTATAGCTCAAATGGAATAACAGAGGTTCATCATTCCATTTCCAGAATCATTAAGAAGCAGCTAAATCTTATTTAGTATATTCTGAGAGAGGGAACTGGATATCATGGTGGAAAATATTTACAAAGTTAAAATGAAAAATTTCAGTGGTTAATAAGTCAAGGTTTATTTATGTGAACATTTATGTGTGCTGTATATAGTAGCACAAGCAGCATCAAAAAGGAAAACACAGGCCAGGGATTTAGTTCAGTGGTTCTGCCACCTGCCTCACAAGCACAGTGTCCTGAGTTTGATCCCCAGTAGCAGAAACAAAACAAACAAAAGGAAAACACAAAATAGGTGAGGAAGATAGTTATTCTGTTTTAATTTGGTGTTGAGGATTGACTTCGGGGCCTCACTGCACCTCTAGCCCTAGTAAGTTCATTTTAAATGCCTCTTCCAAATCTAGGTCTGTAATATCAGGGTTCCACATCTGAATCCTACCTTAAATTTAGCTTTATCTCTCTGCCACTGCAGATGTGAGAGGATATTCAGCTGTACACTTATCATGGGAAAAGGCAACTTCTAAAAGTCTTCAGAATGAATGTCTTGGAAGTTATTAAAAAAAAGATCTCTTATTAGTCATTCCTGCTTTTTGTGGTATTTCTCTTTCATGCAGCATAATTCTATGTGATTTCTATCCAACTTTGAACTATTTCTCTTTTTTGTATCCCTTCCTTACCCCCTCTGCTATCTTTCATTGTTTAGTTAGCAGTCATGTGGTTCTTGTTTTATTAAAAAGATTTTCTAATCCCTATTTTTACTTTTAAAAGTTAAAGGGAAAATAGTTTAAATTCTTATATTTTTGAAGCCATACAACTAAAGCTTTTTTTAAAAAATAATTTATTTAGAAAGTCTGGAAGATAGAGCACTAAGCTAGCATATGCAAAAAAGCCCTGGGTTTGATTCCCGGCATGGCAGGAAAAACAATAATAAAAAGAAAAAAGAAAAAAATCTCTTTAGAAAAAATAACTACCTCACCAACATATACATATACATATGTTGTGAGGCTAAAGTATTGTCAAAATAACATGGCTAATTGCATCATTCATAATAATAGCCAACTGACTCATTCCTCACTATAGTTGAGATCTACAGTATCTTTCAGAAAAACAACAAAGTGAGCTCTTAGGGATTCACAGGTGTGTAAAAAAAAAAGTTCCTTTTGTACACTGATGACCAAAATTTAAGACACACAGGCGAGGACATGTAAAAAGTCTTCATCTGCTCAAGTCAGAGCTGGGCTGGGAGCCAGCAGTAAACCTTCAGAAATGGAAGTTCATGTGTCCACAGCTGAATCAGTTTGCATATTCTTCACATGGGCAGAAGGAAGTGGAACACTCTCCACTACATTGAAGTCCTGGGTAGAAACAATTTTCATTCTCTTTTGGATAGATCTGCGCTACTAGTAATCTCTGAGAACACTGATAACTCCTTGAAAAGGAAGAGGACTGTTCCTTTTCTTTACTAGCAGCAAATATTTGATGTCTGCCTTTAACTAGACGTCTTCATGCAAACTGTTGACATTGACGACAGGGCAGTTTTCCTGTTGTCATTGAGGGCTTACTTTCACCAGGAAATGAAAACATAGGACACACGAGACTTTTTTCTTTAGACAAAATTATTAAAATTGCCATTAATCCCCCCAAATCTCTTTTAAACAGCTTGTCATATTTTCAAATAATATGCTCTATGTATATTTTTCTTCAACCTCCTATCATGTGTTTAGGTGAAGACCCCTAAATTTAAAGCAATGATTCCAATTGGTAATCTTAAAAATCAAAACAAACAAAACCAAATACTATAATACTCTTTTGCCACATGTCTAGATAAAGGACATCCTCTAATATGTTAACAGTTTATCCTATATGTCCTGGCATTAGCTCTCCCATAAATGAGATAACAGATTTCTGAAATTATACCAGTACAAGGTAACATTTACTAAATGACACCTGTGTGCTACCATACTATAAAGGTTGCCATTCACAGACCAGCTTTTCAGCCAGCTCCACCTTGTTCACTACACACTCCTGGAGTACGATCTCATCAAGGATGCTTGTAGTGTCCCCTGACAAGTCACATTTCACGTTAGCCAACAAGAGCGCTCTAAAACAGTCCTGGCACACAACTCAAGCACCATCTGTAAAACAGTTCTGTGGACTGCTCCCATCCCAGTGGGTGGTGGGAGGAAGTCAAGTAAAAGCTCTGCACAGGGAGGTATGTAGACTGCCTTCAGTAAGGAGAGCGGAAGGTACTGTGCATGGTAAGAAGATAATTACAGAGGTCTTGAGATTACAGTTGCTCTGAGAACATTCAGCCTAGAAACCCTCAAGATGCTTCCCAGGTCCAGGACAGCTGGAGGTAGAGGAGGTTGGGGGTCTGGGAGAGTACATGGGCCTGATGGGCCCTCGTGGCCTCTTCACAAAACACTCCCTTTTCTAACATCATCATCAAGGTTGAGAGAGAAGGTGCTGGGTTTGTGGCTTCCCATCTAAGATTTAAGACTCCCACCCCCCAAAACTCATACTAATAAAGTGCTTACTAGCACTCGGACCATTCATTTTCTTGTTCTCATCTGCCATACTTCCTCCATGAACACTGGAAAAGAATCCCTGACTAAAAAGAAACGCACATCCTGTTTAGGAAGGGGTGTTCCACGAAGATGTGACTGTGTATTTTACTGAGGAGCAGTGGGGCATTGTGAACCCTGCTCAGATGATCCTGTTCAGATATGTGTTCCTAGAGACCCACAGGGACCTGGCCTTGCTGGGCTCTTGGGGGAAGACTGCCTTCTCTTGTGTAGGAGTCAAAACTTCGAAATATGAGGGCCACCCCCTCCATTAAGGACTATGAAGTATGTGTACCCACACCAGACAGATGTGCCTCACACCATAGTCTGCTATTTCCAGAGGAACAGCTTTATTTATGAAGGTACAATTTGCATATAACAAATTATAGTGTACCCATTTTTCAAAAGGTTTTTACCTGGTGCAATGACGAATGATTACAGTGGTGAAAGGCATGGTGGGATCCTCTGGCCATAATGGTCTAATGGGCCGGTGTGGACAGAGGCACTGGGTGGTGTCTTTACTCTGTTACTCAGGAGCTTCTGAGGCTCTCTGCTGTTGTCAGATAATTTACAAACTTGTCAGGCTGACATTCTGTCATCCATTAGGTGACCTTTGTCTAGCTGTCTTTTTTTCCCCAAAGAGATGGGATCATTTTATTGTAAATTAAGTAAAATTTTAAAAGGGGACATGAGGTCTCTCTGGGCTGGCCTTGGACTCTTGGGCTCAAGTAATTGTCTTCTCTTAGCCTCCAGAGTAGATGGAAGTACAGGTACTGCACCTGACCAGGTATCTGTTTAAGTGTATAGTTTGATGAGATTTTAAAAGACAGACACACATTGTAACTATCGTCACAATCAAGATGTAGAAATTTCCATTACCTCCCAGAGTTTCTTTAGGTCTTTTTTTCAGTCTTAGTCCTGCCTTCTCCCACACCCTGCCCCAGGCAACCACTGATCTACTTTGTAGCAGTATTTTGTTAGTTCTACATTGTCTCAAATGTCATAAAAATCCACATTACTGTATATATAACCATTTGAGTCTGGTTTAGTCATCCGTGTCACTCTGTTTCAAAATTTTGCTACTTTTCCTTGTTGAGTAATATTTTGTTGTACAGGTAAACAATTTGTTTATTCATTCATCAGTAGAAAGGCATTTGACTTGTTTTCAGTATTGGGCTATTATGAGGTTGCTATGAACATGTATAAATAAAACTGAAATTCCAGGAGATTAAGCAAAACAGTTTAGAAGTATCTGGGGAGTAAAGTAGTCAAGTACTTGATAGCCAAGTTGAAGAGCAAGTAACTGGTTTTGTAAAAACTATTGCCAAAAGTGAGATGGGAAAATAAATGCCTAACAGCAAGGAGAGGACTGCTGATTGGGCATTGAAAACATTGCAACACCATTGGCAGGACAGAATGATACAGTTGTTTAAATTTGACAAGGACTGGAACTGAGCCAATAGACTCAAACCTATTTTCCCTGGCTACTTCTTCAGGACATGTTTCATGGCCTGTAGAGGCAGTGGAGACAGAGAGCCCTGTGTTCAGAGTCAGAAAGATTCTACTGGCTACAGAGCTTGGGCAGGGACCAATCACCTTGGCCA